TATTGGGGAGGGAGTTGCCCCCACCAGCCCTCAGATGCCCCTGCTGGGGATCAGGACAGGCTCTCTTCGCTGCCCTCAGCTGTGTGTGTCCTCTCATCAGCCAAGGTCTCCAAGGCTATGAGAAATGGAGGCTCTGGGTGATGGGGGAGGGGTGGCCCCACAGATTCCCCTGGGACCCAGTGTCCCTCCACAAAGAGAAAACCCTTGGGGAGGCTGCCAGCTGTCTCGGAGCCTGGCGTCTCCTCTGCCCATCCAGGAAAGGGGTCCAGGCAGAGCTCAGCCCTGTGAACCCTGGGCATCCAGCATCCAGTGTGGGCTCCCCTCCACCCCATGCTGGCCCTCGCCTGCACTGCTGGAACTGCAAGTGTCCTACAGCAGGCGCCAAGGTTGCTGTGACCTTGCCTAGGCGTGCAGCTGGAGGCGCCCGCAGGCCCTGAAGGTGAGCTCATGCTCATACATGGAAGGGCCCTTGGTGCTGCCTGAGGACACACATCCCCTCTGGAGCCTGGGGACCAGCACATGTCGCCCCAGAGAGGCAGGAGGGCTTGAGCGGAGATGGGGTGGGGGCACACGTCTCTCCACCCCTCCCTTCTCTTCCCTCGGCCTCCTCGGAGCAGAGCCGCCCCTCTGCTTGTGTGGTGTGGCCAGGCTGGCTTGGGGCAGGACAGTGCCCTGTGGCTTCTGTTAGCCACATGAGATTCCTGAATCCCCTGCTAGTTGTAGCCTTGGTCTATCTTTACAACCCATCTTTTGGCTGGGAAAGCCATAATGACGTCCATTACCAGGATGGAAAAGTGAGGACCCACCCAGAATCTCCTAATTAAACCTGCCAAGCAAGGAAACACTCGGGTGCCCACAGGGCATCACAGCACTCAGAGAAACACACATTCACGGGCTGCACAGACCCTGGGGATGCAGCCCTGGTGTCCCACCCCTACCTGATGCCCTGTGGGGAGGAGAGCCCCACCCACCTGAGCCACAGAGGGCAGAACAGGTGTGTGGGCAGCCTAAGGAGGGGGCTCCCAGAACCTACAGAGTCCCCGCCCGGGCCTTGCGCCATCCCAGGACTGGCTCAAATCTCGCCTGATGTCAGACTTGCAGGGCAGTTACCACGACCCCTGGGGCTGTGGGCTGTGTGCACTGTGGACAGCTGGGAGACCTCTGGCCCTGGACCCGGCAGCCCCAGGGAAGTTCCCCGGGAAGTGCCCAGAAGACGGGGAGGAGGGCTCCTCCTGGTGCAGCGCTGGGGGTGCTGCAAGGAGCACCGCGGGGTTTCAGAGAGGAAGCCCTAAATAAATTCACTCTTCCCCCACAGTGGGTGAGGCAGACAGGACCCGGGGCGGAGAGGTAGAGCAGCAGGGTCCAGGGAACCAAGGGGCCATCGAAAAGAAGCCTCGCCCACAGCTGCTCCCCCGGAGTCTCTGCCAGCACTGTGGTCCTAACTCAGCGACACACAGGCCATGTCCCTGTCACACATGTCCTGCTGTGCTTGGCCAGGAGAGGCTGCTGGCTCCCAGCACAGACAGCGTTGCGGCCTCTGACGTGCTCCGGCCCACACAGGGAGCTCAGCGCAGTCACCGTCAGCACCAAGGTGATGATGGCCTGGGCTCTGTGTTAGAGACAGCACCCTAAGGGTCGACAGCCCTGCGACAAGAGGGTGCAGAGTGAGGGTGAGGCTGCCCCTCGAGGCCAGGGTGAGGGCCCTCTTCAAAGACGGCAGGCCATCGGGGGCTGGGGCTGTGTCTTGAGGGCCCTGGTGGGGCCCCAGTAGGGTGAGGTGGCACTGGGCGTGGGTGGCTCCAGTGTGGTGCTCTCCACCCTGACACAGGGACTCTGGCAGTTCCTCCATGGGTCACTGGTGCTGAATGGGCTCTCAGGGCACAGCCTGGGGTCCTGGGGTGGTGAAAAGTGGTTGCACTGTCACCCTGGGAGCTGGTGGCCCCCAAGGTCCTTTCCTTTCTTCTTGGGGTGACCTGAAAACATGCAGCACTTGCTGTACGTACAGCAGGCTGCCTGTACCCTAGGGGTCAGCAGGTGAGGACACAGTGTGGTAAGAGGGCAGCTGGCCTGGGAAGCGGACCTGCGTCCAAGCAGCAGCAGGGGTCAGGGAGGGTGGGAAGAACAAGGCACAGCCCTGCTGGTTCTCCGCAGCCCCTCCTGAGACAGGGGTCTGCTGGCTCAGCTGAGGACATTTCTAGCCTGCTCTCCCTGCCTCAGCCCACAGCCAGCATCTTCCTGTGGGAGTCGGGAGGCTGTGGACACAGTGCTGTCTACGCTGGGCCTCCTCTGCAGCGGATGCAGGCAGGATGCTGACCTGGGATATAGCTGTGGGGTCACCATACCAACAGCACACAGCTGAGTACCCGGTCCGCAGGTGAGGCCTGCGGCAGGGCCAGAGCAGGGCAGCCTCTGGCCGGGGCGTGGCCTCCTGGCACTTCTGATTTCCAAGTGAGACCTCATCACACGTCGTCCCCAGTGGTTGTTGTGGTGACTACTGTGCCAGTGGAGTTGGAGGCCATCTGCATCTTCCCGACATGAAGAGAGCATTGGCCTGGCACCTGGGGAAAAGACGAGAGGAGTTTGAGCTGTGACCAGAAGCAAGAGCAACGAGTCTCCCAGCAGCCCCCATCCCCTTCAGGAAGCAGGTACACTGCCACCTGAGAGCAAGCAGGACCCCAGAAGGCAGGGACGACAACCTCCACAGGAACAGAGTCAGGTCCACTTCCCACACCACTCACCAATTTGGGCTTCACTTAGAAACTAAGTACACAGGGGTCCAGAAGGTGACAATGGAAGTTATGGCCGCTGCAGGGTGTGTGTGTGTGTGTGTGTGTGTGTGTGTGTGTGTGTGTCTGTCTGTCTGTCTGTCTGTCTGTCTGTGTGCGTCGGTGTGCATCTTCTGGATGCCATGTACATGGCCCTCTGTGTGTCTCTCTGACCGGCTTGTGTCATTGACCCTACACCCACTATGAGGGGTCTGGGCATCTACATGGGGTGACAACAGCAACTGCTGGGGGCAGCCCCGTTAGTGGGGATGGTTCCAGTGAGACCCCATGGGGCTCAGCTGGAGTGGAGCTCCACCACTGTGGGTGAGGGAGGAGACTGAGCTTGGAGGTGGCAGCACCCAAGGGAGGTGGGAACAGAGCAGGGATGGGCGCTTGGCCAGTCAGAGGACGGCTGCCGGGGCAGGGCGAGTAGTGAAGGACCTCGACCACCTGCCAGGGTAGCAACATCAGGGCTGAGAGCAGGCAGTGTCCAATGGTGGGGTTCCCACACTCTGGACACCTGGAGGGACAACGGGATCTGAGAAAAATGTTTGCCCATAAAACCCCAACAGAAGACCGTTAGCAAAACACATGCCCTGTATTAAAGCGTCCTAGAGGAGCCAGTGGGGTCCAGGACTTGGGGGTGTGGGTGACAGTGGAGAAGGTCCTAGGGGAACCTGTTGGGTCCTGGAGGGAGAGGGGTCTCGGGAAGGAAGGAGGGAAGTGAGCAGGGATCGGGACACCCAACACGAACAGGTGGGCGGAGAGGGCTGAGCGGCCTGCTCCCGAGAGAGAGGGCAGAGCACACGGCCCAGCCAGGCAGGTGAGGAGAGGTGAGGCCCTCCAGCATGACCCACAGCCCCAGTTCCCCACAGCCGAGTGCGGGTGTGGTGGCCAGCTGTGACCCTCATCCAAGGCCGGCAGAAGGGCTGGAGCCAGACCTCCTGATCCAGGCAGCCAGGGAGGATTCTAGTCCCACGTGCAGAGGCCTCTTTGCCCCTTTCATCTCCACTTCCTGGGGACATCCTGTCCTCTGTCCTTCTACCTCTCAACAGCCAGGCCAGGCAGGTTGTCCCTAAGTCCTCCGTGTCCCAAGGTCCTCTCTTGGAAGGGGGAGGCCCAACCCTTCTAGTTTTGGGACTCCCCAGACGGCCGGGGG